TGAGGGCAGGGAGATGGTGAGAGAACGTTATACAACAAGATAAGCGGCTGCGTGAGGGCAGGGAGATGGTGAGAGAACAACTTTGTACAACACAAAGGCACAGAAGTCATGAACGGCAGAGGTCTCAGTCCTACCACAGGAGATGATTACTTAGTATAACACTTTAAACTTGCCTGTATTTTAGTTGAAGAAGGACCCTTTCTGGATTTAGGCATCTATTAGCAAATTCCTGAGGAAAAGCAAATTCCATAGCTGCCAGTTTCCATATAATCCATCTGTAGTGATTATACACCCAAATTCTGGAAATAAGCTTTGGATCTATACCTGGGGTGTCACACAAAGCCCTGAGCAAATAAATGTGGAAAAAACAAAAAACCACGTCAGGTAATACTAAATTCAACAACTGTGACATAACTATACTCTGTACAAAAAAAAAAAAAAAAAAAAAACCCACATTGTGCAAGACTGTTCAAGTTTTTATGTGAACAGATCTATCACATAATTTCAGAAAATTATCATGTGTCAAAATAACATATAAATAAAACTATTTTATTGAGAAACAAACAGCAATAAGACAGTTTCAAAACTGATTAATAGGACAGTTTCAGTAATTAATACATTGTACATTGTTATCTTCTTAGTGGTTACCCACAGTATAAGATGCAGACAGGATAGCCTGCCCAAACACAATTAGTACAAATCTTTCTTCTCATTGAATTAAGTGAAAGTAGCTGTTTATCTATCCTAACTATTCTGCATATACAGATACAAAATGGTCCTTTCTTTGTATCCCCTTTTTTTGTTTAGTTCTGTCAGAAATGGGTATTCCATTGGCATCTAAATACTATAGGTGTGTGCATTCAGCTAAACAATCCAACACAGTCCAGCAGTCCACAATAGTAGTGGGTTATCTGTGGAAGTTGTTGACTTGAGCCTTTCACAGCTCAGCATATTAATATGGCTTTACTTTATATACCTCGTTTTCATACTTTTGTGCTGGATGGTTAAGACCAAGGTAAAGCAAGACCTATATAACAAGAAATGTAACTTTTGTATCTGATAAGGTCAGTCAAGTCCCCTCAGGATTTATCTGTAACCCTGTACCGCAGGTTGCAAATCCTTTGTGAGTGTCAGCCATGTGGATGAGTCACGGCCATTGCTTGACCACTTTGCTCTCTGTGAAAGCCTGAGAGAATGTTTTCTCTCCAGGTGACTCTCCTTAGGCACACTCTATGTCATTGATCATGTTGCTCTGTGGCCCCATAATCTTGATCAGAAAATCTGGGACACAACTGAGTTACATGATGTTACAGTATAGGTTCTCCTATGTCCTGAGTCTTCACTGGCCTTGAAAGGATATGGTAAAACTCTACTTATTTAATGATCAATAAATGATTTAAATTTATAGTTTTTCCTTGAAAGTGAGATTCTCAATTAGAAATAATTATGATTTTTTTTTTTTTTTTTTTTTTTTTTTTTTTTTGCAGAACCGGGGATTGAACTCAGGCCCCTGTGCTTGCCAGAGAAGCGTTTGTTCTACTGAGCCATCTCCCCAGCGCCAGAAATAATTATGTTTTAGACAATTTTTTTTCTCATTACAGAGAATATTCTTAGAAATCAAACCTAAGAATGCCTTTCCCCAGTCTTGGGCTTGCCTTAATATCATTCCTGATCTTCCTAAATCTCTTTACACCTCATCTTCTTATTCTCTTTGCACTACATCAACAAGAGCAACCAAAAGGGTACTTCCACAAACTCTGCCTCACCTCTCTACCCACTCCAATGCCTGTATCTTTACAGGAGGCCTTCTGCCCTTCATGCACAAACTCCTACCCTCTCTTGCCCAATAAAACCCTTTCATTTAGGAAATGCCTTCTCTCCTGAATCAGTAATTTTTTTTTAATCAGTAATTTTTTCCCTTTGCTACTAGACAATATCCATCAGCATAAAAAACAGGTTTTGTTTCTTACTTCAAAACACAGAAACTAGCCCAAACTGATACCTTTTGATTATAACTGCTTCTCCAGGAACTCCTCTTCCTTCCTTTGCTAGAGCTTGGATAAAGATGTCTCCTCTAAAATTCATGCTGAAATTCACTCCCAGCACAGTAGCATTGAGAAGGGCCTAGCGGAGGCCTTTAGGTCACCGGGGATGTCCCATAGGAGACAGTAAGATCTTGGCCCCTTTCTCTTTCTCTTGTACACTGGTCAGGAGGTGAGCAGTTCTGCTTTGCCACCTACTCCTGCCAGGATGTGCTCCTTTGTTATAGGTCTAAAAGCAGTAAGGCTAACCTATCATGAAATAGACTCTAAAACTGTAGCCAAAATAATCCTTTTCTCTTTATTATAAGTTCATTATCTAATGTTTTTGCAATAATAACAGCAAGTAAATGCAGACATCACAGTGTTTTTTCTTTCTACTAGACAATATCCACCAGCATAAAAAAAATACATTTGTGTATCTTTTTTTTCTTTTTGGTGGAACCGGATATTGAACTCAGGCCCTTGTGCTTGCCAGGGAAACACTTATTCTACTGAGCCATCTCCTTGGCCGTATTTTTGTATCTTAAAATACACTAGCTTAAACTTATTCTTTCTGATCTAACTTCCTCCTCCATGTACTGACTCTTATCTTGCTTCTTTCTTTTGGAATTCCTGAAACAATATTCTGTCTTTTACTCTTTGTCTTCAACTGCCCTGTAAGACACAGAGCTTCCCTCTACCAGTTGAATCCCCAGAATGAAGAATTAGCAGATGAGCTAAATATGCAGATGAACTTAAGAGGGATACCATTCCTGTGACTACTGCCAGTTGAATGGATAAATCTTGAAATGCAAAGAAAGGGGAAAATATGCCCTTCAAGAAACATGTTCCAAGAAAGGGGTAGAATGAGTTCCTACTAATCCACTCAGGAAAGAGACATTCTGTATGTGCTGAGTGTGGAAAGCCTTCACATCTTACCAAACACCAGAGAATACACACCCAGGAGAAACCTTATGTGTACACCAAATGTGGGAAGGCTTTCCGTCTCAGCTCCAACCTTACCCTTTATTACAGAACACACTTGGTGGACAGGCCCTATGACTATAAGTGTGTGAAAGCCTTCAGAGAGAGCACAGACCTTGTTAAACACTGGAAAATGCACACAGAAGAGGTGCCATACCAATGTAAAGATTGTGGAAAGGCCTTTAGTGGCAAAGGCGGCCTCATATGACACTATTGCATCCACAGAGAAGGCCCATTAGTGTAATGAGTGTGGGAAGAGCTTTAATCAGTACGCAGGTCTCAATTCTTATCAGTGCCTCCATACTGGAGAGAAGCCCTATAAATGTAAGGAATATGGGAAGCCTTCAACCAGAGATCATATTTTAATGAACATCATAGAATTCATACTCGGGTAAAGCACTATTGATAATCATTGTGGAAAAGCCTGTAGCAAGTCAAATCTTGCCAAATACCAGTGAGTGCATGCTGGAGAGGGTAAAGGGCTATCACTGTAAACACTAGAATGTAATGTAGTAACAGCTGATAGATTTTTCTTCCACTTGGCATCAAAGGCTGCTTGTGAGGTGGGCTCTGCAGGGATAGGGTAGCTAGGAGGTCTGCAGAAACCAACACAGAGCCTCTGCCTTGACCACCTCTCAGGGTCTAGTCCCCTCTCCACAGGGCATAAACTCTGAACCATGTCAGCATTGTCTTCTGTACAGTTTAATTGATGTGTGCAAGAAAGATTAATTGATGTGTGCAAGAAGAAACATTAAAACTTGTTTGGCTGCTATAATCTACAACTTGTAAAGAATTGAGTCATAGGGAGCCAGGGAAATAGCTCAGTAGAATAAGCGCTTGCCTAGCAAGCACAAGGGCCTGAGTTCAATCCCTGGTTCCACAAAAAAAAACAAAAACAAAAACAAAAAAAAAAAAGAATTGAGCCATACTGACTAGAACTTAGTAAGATTCAGAATGACAAAAGAGACTCTCTTCTACATTTATTCCTAATTGATCAGTCTTCCCTCCTTGCGCTGCTAAATTCCATCGACATGGTGACAATTCCAAAATTGATTTACTTGGTCTCTACCTTACCTATGAATTTCACACATGCATATGTAATTGGCTGTATCTTCACTTGGATATCCACTGTCAGATACCACGATTCAAATATTCAGTCCCAATTTCCCTTACATCTTTTTCTTATCAATTCTGGCAGCATTAGTGGTAAACACCTTTCCAGATGCTGAGGCCAAACCTCTGAAGGCATTCTTTCTCTCTTTTTAAAATTTTTGTACTTGGTACAGGGTCTCATTACACAACTCAGACTCGTAGTGATCCTCCTGTTTTCAGCCTCCCCAGTGCTAAGATTAGAGGATACCCAGACTCAGTCGCTAGCTCAGCGTGTTTGGTGGCGGAGCTGGCAGGGCATGTGGTACCCAGGGATGGAACCCTGATCCCTGTGCTTGTCTAAGCAGGCGCAGTCTGGTCTATCTCTCCAGCCCTTGAAGGCATTCTCTACTCTCACTCTCCACATCCAAACTTTGATCAAATCCTGATGGTGCCACCCTGTAACTGTACCTAAGATCCAACAGCTTTACCAGCTGCCATCTTGATGATCCCAGCAACATCCTGCAGCAGGACTTGGCAATACCTTCCTAAGTAGCCTCTTGATTTCATCTTTGCTCCTTCTCACAGACCAGTATCAACAAGCAGCCAAAGTAACTGTGTCCAAAGTAAGTCAGATCATGCCTCCCTTGACTTTCAACCTGACCCCATGATACCTTCCCTGATGGTTGTGTGCTCACTCCCTGTACCATCTCCAAAGTGTGTCAGTGAAGCCTTCTGACCATTTTACTTAGAAGTTGAAGATGGGAGTGGTGGTGTATACCTGTAATCCCAGCACTCTGGGAGGCTGAGGCAAAAGGATTGCCAGTTTAAGTTCAGTCTGGGCAACTTAGTGACTCAGTAAGATTCTTCCTCAAAATAAAAAATACAGAAGAGCTGGGAATGTAGCTCAGTGTGAAGGCCCTGGGCTCAACCCCCAGATTCATTCCTCCCCCAAAATTGCATCTCTCTTTATGTTACTTCTACATCCTTCTAACTTTATTTTCTAGAGCCAGCCACGTAGCTCAGTGGATTAAAGCACCTGCTTAGCAGATGCAGGGATCAGGGTTCAACCTCATGCCATGCTGGCCTTGCCCCTGGGGCTAGCTGAGATGAAACTCAGATTAGGCATGGTGGTGCATGCCTATAATCCCAGTGCTTGGGAGGCTGAAAACAGGAGGATCACTAGGAGTCCAATCTGTGTAGTGAGACCCTGTACTACATAGATAAAATAAACAAACAACAAACCAAGAAAGACCTTTGTTTTCTATTTTCATAGTACTTATCACCTTCTAATACACATCTATTTTAAAGAATTTTTGGCACCTTCCACTCTCAGTGGAATATTTGACTCATTAAAACACAGATCTTTCAGTTTTTGCTTTATGCCTTGTGCTTAAACTACTATTTAGAATGTAGTAGATGCTCATATATTGTTTGCTGAATGATCAGAAAGCTGAAAAGACACTTTATGAACGCTAACCACTTGACTATAGTATAATCTGTAAATCTCTACATTGTACATTTTATATAATACAGGAAAATAATACAAATATAGTACTTTACTTTTCCTACTAGAATGTACAAGCAGATGTGTTATGTAAGATTCATCCAAAATGCATATGGGCTTCTTTGCTTAAAGTAATTCAAAAAAGTTAAAACACTTTT